TTTATTCTTTTTAAATATATATTTTTTTTGTGCCTGGGTTTTGTTTAAAAACCCGACGAGCCAAGTGGAGGAAAAGGGAGAGGAACCAACAAGCCGAGCTCTGCAAGAACGGCTTCGGCCCGCAGTTCAACGGACTCATGCAGCCCTACGAAGACATGTACCCCAGCTACACGTACAACAATTGGGCCGCGAAGGGTCTGACGTCGGCCTCCCTGTCCACCAAGAGCTTCCCCTTCTTCAACTCCATGAACGTCAACCCCTTGTCCTCCCAGACCATGTTCTCGCCCCCCAACTCCATATCCTCCATGACTTCCAGTATGGTGCCCTCGGCGGTGACGGGCGTGCCGGGCTCCAGCCTCAACAGCCTCAACAACTTGAACAACCTCAGTAACCCGTCCCTCAACTCCGGGGTGCCCACGCCGGCGTGTCCCTACGCGCCCCCCACGCCTCCTTACGTGTACAGGGACACTTGTAACTCCAGCCTGGCCAGCCTGAGACTGAAAGCCAAGCAGCACTCCAGTTTTGGATACGCCAGTGTGCAGAACCCGGCGTCTAATCTCAGCGCTTGCCAGTACGCCGTGGACAGACCAGTCTAATGGCTGCATGCACTGCAGAAAGCACCACCCGAACAAGACGTTTTTACAGCTAAAACCAGGCTGCGAAGTCATTTTCGTCTCTCAGGAGGTGAGAAATTCATTGTGGGGGAGATATTTACATGAAAGGAGACACTTCGTCATCTTTTGGGCCTTTATTTTACCAAAACTCGTCATTTTTATTTTAAAGTCGACATTCCCACCTTGTTAAATTTGATTTTTTTTCACCCATTTCCTCCCGAGTATGATAAGTGTTCAGGCCCGTCTTTTAGACTAAATGGATTGTTAGGGTGGTCTTGTTTTGCAGTGTGTGCGTAATTACAAACAGACAGCCGGCCACAGCAACAAGAGACTACTACAGCTCCCTTTTTCCCCTCTCCAATGTTCCACCAAAAAAAAGGGCACTAAAGAGACTGAACCACTGAATCAAACTCAGCTCCAAGTCGGAGTCAAAAACTGAAAAGTTTTTAGGTTTATCCCAGGCCTGTTTGTGAAACGACAAACACGGTCTGGTTCGTTTTTTCTCTTCTCTGGTGGATTCTTGGACTCTCATCGTTGACTGAAAAGGGTTGTATATATATAAATGTTAATATTTGAATCATCATCTCCTATTTGTCGGGGCGAATGCGCTTAAACCCCCAACTTCTCTTTCTCTCTCTCTCTGTCTCTGTCTCCGCATGTGGATTAAAAAAAACCCTGAGAAAAAAGGAAAACAACGTTTTGCTTGCGAACAGAAAAAAAGGGAATGTACATAAACTAAAACGCACCGGTTGTGTGTTTCTAACATATTATAAATTTATTATTAATGTCTGTGTGAATATGGATTTAGAATAGCAATTCTGGATTTTAAAGAGAAAAAAAAGTCGCATCAAAAATGTTTCCTGCGCCAAAACATTTTGATTTTTTTTTTTTTTTTTGCCTTGTGTATAACTATTTGGTACGAAATTTCGTTGTTTTTTTTTTCCCTGTTCTGTTTTCTTCAACGTCTCTCTCCAAAAAAAAAACTATTGTGTTTTATTTAATGGAAGTAAATATATTGTTCCAAAATGACCCAGCTGCTGCTTTTATTGAATCTTGGTGTTAGTGGAGTGCACGGCACTGACAGTGTGTCTATAGGCACTTGTGCGGATAATCTATAGTGGAAAACAATGGGCCGCTCCAATACACATAGCAGCGAGATGCAGGCGCAGATTAAAGCGCTGAATACATGTCTGAGCGCCGGCCCCTCGGCTGCTCACTGGTGCTTGAAATAACACGGGAATCAACAAACAGGAGTTGGACCACACAACAGTGAAGAGGCTCCATTACAGCCCGGGTCACTGCTAACCTCCGTGTGTCTGCAGAGATCAGCACAAATGGATTCTAATGGGAAATGGCGCCGTAATCCAATAATTCCAATTATTTAGATAACATCTCGCTATAATTAAGACTTTTAAATTGTAAGTATATTGTGTATATATTTTTCTAATTAGTATTTAGATGTGTTCGTGTTTGGAAAATGGTTTTAGTGTATTTACTAAATTTATTTAGCGAAGCTAATCACCTCTAATGTTTGCCTTGTTTTTGCGCTTTAGCTCGATGGCTAATGTTGGGTTTTATATTTAAAAGGAAACGTTATCATATTATACGGCTGCCCTGACATCAATATGTCGAGGTAATTCGGTGGTTTTAATGCAAAATTAATATGGCGTGTTATTATTCTCCTTTATCTCGTGTTTTTGCTACAAGTTTGCGTTATGCAGCAAAATAGTGTGCGTTCGTGTGTGTGTGTAACTTTAAAATGCTTCCTACATACAATATAATCCAGGCTTTTAAATTCCAAACGGATTGCACAATCTGGTAGTGAACGTTTATTCGTCATTAAAAGGTCATTTGTATCATGTGATTTTAATTTGCAAAAACGTTCGATACTTTAATCAGATACAATCCTCTACGCAACACGTGCATTATATTTTTTGCCCTTTATTTACAATTACCCGTTTATTGCTTTCATGGTGTGTAAATGTCTACGGTGAGTGCGCCATTTTTTTATTTTATATTTAGGATAATTCGAAGAGTTTTTCTGAAATGTCAACTTCAAAATCACAGCAAAAATGCGATGTTTGATCCAAATGATCCTTAATCCACATTAATTGCGATAATCTAAACTAATTGTACAATTTTAAAAATCGTAACTTGTTTGACATTTAAACGTCTTTCATCTGTTTGTTTGAAGGAGCTTTTCCTAATAAACAGCACAACAAATAGTATTAATGTTTAGAAATGACACACCAGTAGAAAAAATCAGGTTTTTTCGTAGCCAAAAGTAATTTTCTCCTTTTATCAAATACTAATTATATCTTTAATCCCACAATCTGTGTTCAATTAACCGTCTCACTGCCTTCATTTTGTTCATTTCTTCTTCGAAAGTTACGTTGTATGATGCGTTCACGTGCCAAGACAACACGAGCCGTGCAGCAGTGCATAGGAAACAGTCTGATTCACTTGAACAAACATGCTCACACACACACACACACTTGGTGAGTGTGTGAGTGAGTGGTAGGTATGCGGGGTCCAAGCTGACAACAGCAGGAGGAGGAGGAGGAGGAGGAGGAGGAAGGAGAGGGGAGACGAGTGGAGGCTGATGGCTGCAGGCGGAGCGGAGACACCGGGGAGGAAAGAGAAAGATCCGCAGTACCACCCGCAGAAAGTACAAAGTAAACACGCCGTGGAGACTGACCAGCAAACAGTAAACAGTTTTAGATTATTTTTAACACTCAAGGGTGTTCCCGAGTTGGTTTAATTCTTAAAAAAATGAAACAATTCTTCCATTTAAAATAACTTTATAAAATATGAAAACAAGAGAGAGAGAGAGAGAGAGAGTGGAGCTGAGTTCAGAGATGACTTCATGCTGACACAGCCCTGAGGTCGTGTCTCAGGGGAGACTATTAATATAAAGAGAAATAAATCAGTGACGACCAAGTGTTTCTTGAAATAACAAACACAAGTGAAACATCCTCTGACTTCCAAAGATCTTTTTCTGTCCCAGACCAGATTAAGACTTTTTTTATCTTTTGTCGCGTCTCCTTCTTGATGAAGGAGTCAGACAATAATCAGCTGTCAGGGGGGGATAAGCCTGGCGAATACGCAAAGTCTGCGGCCTGAATACACATGCACACAATCAACACGTGAAGAGGGGATGACCCTGAGGATGAGGAGAAGAGTCTGCGGCTGGGAAATGTTCATTTGGCTGAAAACGGCGCACAGGAGTGCACACTTTTCCTCCCTCTCTCTGGCTCCTCTCCTCCGGTCTACACAAGGTAAGATGTCGTAAAGTTACACCTCGGTTGATGCATCTTGAATGGGCGCTTTTCTGCGGGGAAATCTTCAGAATGCGTTCGGGTTTCTGCTCACGTTTAATCACTAATTAATTTCAGGTGCGTAAAAGCAGATTCACTTATTTTCTTTTTCCAGCTGCAGACAAAAAAAGCAAACAAACACACAAAATCTCGAGGCTGTGTTAGAAGCGTGATGTTCCAACAGAGATGTAATTCTCATCTTTTTGCAAATGTCTACTCCTGCTCTCCTCCCTCCACCAAAACGCTGCAGTACATGTTGATGTGAGATTGGTTCCGCCGGCGTGATTAAAACACAGCTCCCACCTCCACCTCCACTCCCGTGGGAATTCAAATAAAAAGGGAGGCAGAGCGAGAGCAAATATCCAAACATGTATCGAGTTGAATAATTAACACGCCGACAGAATTCATGAATCACAGGGAAAACACGGAGAGATGGGAAGAAAATTCACAAACTGTTTCTGTAATCACACGCTAATCAGGCCCGTGTTTAAACTGCTGCATTTTTATGAAACAAAACACTGTTTCTGCGGAAGTCGACCCACACACACACACACACACACACACACAGAGAGAGAGAGAGAGAGAGAGAGGGAGGGAGAGAAAGAGAGAGAGAGTCACACAGTTAAACAGTTCTGACCCAAAAAAGGTCAGAAATGTTGAAGTTTTGCTGTGTGTTACGGTGATGTGGCTTCATAGTTAATTAACCCCAGAAGTTGGACTGTAAAGTCGCTGTAACTTCGTCCTTAATATTATTATAATATTATTGACTGTAAATACGAAGAGAATAAAAGTCAGAAATAAAACAATTTCCTAAAAATGTCATTTGTTTTTCCCAATATGTTAAATATGACAGTTTAATGTATATTTTACCTTTGTTTATTTATTTACTTGTTGTTTTGAGCTTAACTTTTAACCGTAAATTAAAATAAGATTAAGCTTGTGCTCGGGTTGGGATTCTTTCTCCCGACCTTTGACCTCTCTCTCATCACGATTGACGTGTTTTACTTTATCCGAAATGGGGTTGATACACATTTCTATTCCTTCTGCTTCTAACCGTGGCTCCAGTTTCCTGAACTAATATCAATCACAGTCAAAGTGTTGTCAAATTTTAAACTGATTAAACACAGCATTTGATCCATTTGTAAATGTTAATTTTTACGTTTAGTCCAGTTTCCCTTAAACCGCTGTTGTTACACAAGAGGAGATTCCGGGCGTAAGTTACTGTGGAGTAAACATTATCATTTAATTAAATATTTAGTTATAATTAAAATACATTAATATATTAAATATAAACCAACTCTCGAATCTGGTTGTTTTTTAATGCATGTGTTGTAAATGACCAATCAACGATAGGTGTTCGGTTGGTGTCGAACATCACGCGGAACGAGTTGTTGAAATCCGTTTTTTCATCTGTAAATGGAGAATAGAATTATTGCCTTAATTAAAATAACTGTCTAAGCTCACCTGCATACAGTTTTAGTGATTTATTTTAGTTTTTCTGTTACCCTTTTATGTACAGGCTGAAGGACAAATACTGACAAGAGACGAGAAGTTACTGATGCAAATCTGTAAATACATCTGAGAAGCTGATTATTGAGTAGAAAATGTGCTTTAAATTTAATTGTGTTCGATTTTTTTCATTAAAAAGTTCCCAAAAAGTTGGATAAACATGATATAATTTCATTTCTTTTTGCAGTTTTTTTCTCAGTGTCTTTCTGTCTTCTCTGCCAGGAAAGAAAACTTTAGTACTTGGACACCTGAAAAAAAAAACAGAGTTGTATACAGTTTAAATCTCCCTCCAGTCATATGTTCAGTAGCCTCACAGATTAGCTGTGGAAGATAATCATGTGTGTGAATTAAAGTGAATTAATTACTTGGGACAGCATTCTGCATTAGAGCTTTGTGCAACTTTTTTTGCCAAAAAAAACCCAACACATGATACATTTTCTGTAATAATTAATTTCTTTTAATTATTATAAGCTCTTAAGATTACATCTCGCCTCAGTGCTGGACCAGTCAGATTGCTGATTTTTTTTAAAGAACAAAGTGATGAAATTGGCAGTTCTCTTAAAATGGGCTTCAGGGTTTTCATCCCCGGACATTCTTCAGATCATCATGTCGGAGGTTAATTTACAGTTATATTAATGATGGCTGTGTAGTGACAGTTAATGCTGCCCACAAAGACCCTCAGAAGAGTCCAGATCACATTAAACGAGGCAGAAAGAATGCTTGTAAAACGTGCACATGCAAAACGGAGGAAGAGTTGTTGAAAACAAGATTAAAAAGCCATCACTGTAAAGAGTAGGTAATATTTACGTTAAAAAAAACCTTCAGAAATAGTTGAACATGTTTGTCTAAAAAGTTAAAAGAATGTTGGAATAATGTTGGTAAACACAGACTTCAAATTCCACCCCCAGTCCCCAGGTGGCGCTATAACCACATTTTGTTTAGGGTAATTGGTGACTAGCTCAACACACACCAAAAAAAAAAACCTTTATTGTTGCCTTGCAACAATAAAGGGTTTTATTTCAACAACAAAAAGTCTAACATTAATTGTTTATCTAAATACAATTTAACTCTTTATATAACATGTCTTATGGACAGTGGTCTTTTGACCAAGGTTCTTTTTATTCAGCATGATAACATTTGACCATTACTAGACCACATGCTGTCCTTTTATATGGACATGCAAAAGGTGTGGCAGACACGCTG